ATTAATCTAACTCTGGCCGTTCCCAACTCCCCCAGACCCCTCAGCACTGGGTCAACCCGACTCTTCAACCCCTCCAGGGATGGGGACTCCCCCCTGCCCTGGGCAGCCCATTCCAACGCCCAACAGCCCCTTCTGCACAGAAATCCTTCCTCAGAGCCAGCCTGACCCTGCCCTGGGCAGCTTGAGGCCATTCCCTCGGGGCCTGGCGCTGGGGCCTTGGCTCCAGAGACTCATCCCCCCTCTCTGCTCCCTCCTGGCAGGGAGTTGCAGAGGGCCAGGAGGTCTCCCCTCAGCCTCCTCTTCTCCAGACTGAACCCCCCCAGTTCCCCCAGCCGCTCCCCAGCAGACCTGTGCTCCAGACCCTGCCCCAGCTCCGTTGCCCTTCTCTGGCCACGCTCGAGTCATTCAATGGCCTTTTTGGGGTGAGAGGCCCAAAACTGAACACAAAATCTCCTTACACACATTTTTTTTTTCCTCCCTGGGGTGGACCCTCACTGCCTGCTCCCTTGCCCACCACAGGGCTGAGTCCCGGCTGAGCTGCATCGTCCTGCAGCCACTGGCAGGGGACCCCGGCTGCACCCGCCTGACCTGGCTCCTCAGCATGGACCTGAAGGCAAGTGCCACCACGTTACTTGGGGTGGGACAGCAAGGGGTACGCATCCCAGTGTGCAAATGCACCCACCTCCCTGGGATGTGCGCCCCAACTCTCTTTGACCCAGCAGGACCAAATTTGGGGTGTTTTCTCTCCCAAAGGGCTGGATCCCTGCGTCTGTCATTAACCGTGTGCTGCCACAGTCCCAAGCAGACTTCATCAAGCACCTCCGCCGGCACCTCTCTGCTGCCACATGTCCCTGAGCTGCGGGACAAGCACGAGGGATGCAGCCTGAGCTGGAGACCCACTCCAGCCCCTTCTCGTCGCCGCTGTGGCCGAGCAGCCACAGCCACCAGCAATGGGGCAAGACGGTGCCCACAGAGCAACCCCGCGCGCGGAGGACACCCTTCACCCAGCACCGTGCTTCTGCCCCAGGGATGGAGTGGGGCATCTGCAAGCTGGGGCAACCGAAGCACCCCCGAGCCTTGCGTTAGGGGCTGCCTAAACCCTTGCTCAAACCTCGCCCACAAGCAGCAATGGTAGGTGCTGTACAGCATCGCTCCTCCCCGCCGCACACAGGGGAAGGCGGGGGGGCTGCCAAAACGCACCCCAACGTTGGGCATCACTGCCCAAGGTGCAGTTTGCTCTGCGCCTTCAGCCCTGCCCCGGTTTCATTGCTCTTGATTTATTACCCACCTGTGGCAGCAGTTGCCAGTGCAAGCTCAGGATCAATTTTTGGCCTGAACCAGTAACATTTTATTTATTTTTGCAATGGCTAAGATATATATTTATGTGTGTATATATGTATATACATAGAGCTCTTTCTCCCGCTGTGCCAACAGTAGCAGGCATACAGCACTAAAGCCATGTCTGGGGGAGGGGGGGTGTCAGAAATGTGGTTTTTAACATCAGTTCAGTTGACTTAGGGTACTGCAGTACAAGACGGGGTGGTAAAGCAAGTGAGAAAGCAGCTCATGGAGATAGGCAGCAGCAGGGTGGGACTCAACCCCACAACCCTGTCATGCAGCATTGTGCCCTCCAGGTCCATGCATCCACGAGAGCTCATCACTGCAGACCTGCAGCATAAAACCCCCAATGGATTTAGTCCTAGGAGGATTCCCAGGAGATCACCAGCTACCCCACAGCCCCAGCCTTTTGCAGCAGGGATGGATCCACTATCTCAGTATTATCCTGCACTCTCAGAACAAGCACGTTGTGCCATAAACACGCTGCCAACCACAGCGAGAAAAAAGCCAAGCAGCTGTGTGTCGTGAAATGTTATTACAGCCATTGCAGAGTGCTTGTAATTTATACATCCGTAGGTTTTGCTGGGTCTGTGGCTTATTTAAGAGGGAAAAAAAAAAATCTCCAAACAATTATGTGAAACGCTGGCTGCTAAAGAGTTGGCTGGGTTGAAATAAAGTAGAGGTAGTGGCTCACTGTGTGAAAACCATTTCAACAAGCACACACAGGTGACAGTCCCCTTCACATACCCATCCCACAAATAAATCAACGGAAAAATTTTGATGTGGATTTATTTTTCTTTACATTATGTTAGAGTTCAAAAAAAAAAAAAAAAGACAAAATTAATAAATATTAAAAGTTAAAAAGCTCTGAATCTCATATGTACAAAACTTTATACATCATCATAACACTGGACAAGATTACATCACAGGAATGACTTGGTGCATCTACCCGTCCCAGGAGGACTCGAGGGACCAGATGTACCCTCTCCTCCTGGACAGGACCAAATCCCAGCTGGGAGCTGGGCTGCCGCATGGCTCCATCCCCACACCGCAGCTTTCCACGCACTGTGGCACCAGCACAGCCAGAAGCACCCCAACCTCAGCCTGCCCGCGGCGCTTCTTGTGCTCACCTGGAATAAACACCCAGTGCCGGGTCCCAGCCCTGCAGCATCATCGCCCCAGAGCATCCACAAAGGGGGGGTTTTATCACACCCCGCTTTAAATCTCGCCCCTTTTTTTTGGCTAGAGGCGGGGGTTAGCACCTGCAGCACAGCCCCCTTGCCCCGATGTGTCCCCCCCCCCGGGGACTCTGGTTGCGGAGTGCAAGGGAACTGGGCCAGTCCTGAGCCACAGCTCTCCTCCGAGGTATAGCAAGGAACCACTGCAAATATTCCTAATGCAATAAAGCACTAATGCCCAGGACAGCACTGAAGGGAGGGGGGCAGCTGAGAATCTGGGGGGAAGGAGTGAGCATGCACACACATACACTGCGCCCTGCAGACATTACCGCCCATTCTTCAGGGGGAGAAGGGTTGTTTGTGTTTTTTCAATGCTTCCAAGGCTACTCAAGGGGGCTGAAAAGCCTTGCTTGGGGCAGGGGAAGGTGAAGCAAGCTCAGTTCTGCCCCAAGCCAGTCCAGGGCTGTCCCAGCAGCAGGAGGGGGCTTTGGCACAGCCTGCACTGGCCCCAGCCCTCCCACCCTGCCCTGCTGGGGAGAGATGCTCCTTGAAGAGTAAACAAAGCGTTATCTTTGGCACAATAAATAAATGCTGGCACTCTCACAGAGGGCGGTGCTGGTGGATAGGCTGGCAAGGGGCAGGGTGGTGGAGGCAGCAGCCCAAGGGTTAAATCCCAGCCTGGTACGCCCACAGTATCTCGTTGATCCCGGGGGTACCAACACCTGCACGCCTTGGACCTGGGCACCCCGCCGCAGCGTCTCGTAGGCATCCCTCCGTCTGTCCGTTCCCACGAGGTGTGCTGGTTGCTTGGCTCAGACAGATGCGTGGCTTTGTTCCATCTTTCATGAAGCCCACCTAATGCTGAAGGGCAGCACCCAGGAGGCAGGGGATCTCCAGCCTCAGGTGCTTTTAAGAGTAGGTAGATAAATGTTGCCCAGCCTTGACTCAGAAGTTATCCCAGGGCAGGAGGGTGTACAAGCTGCCCTCTTAACATCTCTTCAGCCCTTTTTGTAGTGTTGGGTAGCTCCAGGGGAGCATTGCAGAGAGTCCAATGCTTAAAACACCAGGAATGCACAGCAGTCTCCATCCATTTCAATTAAAGTGTGTAATTAAACGTCTCCCCTGCTGCGATCCACACCAGACCAGCAAAGGCTGAGAGGAGCTTGCACAATGATGTGAGCTCCTCCAAAATGCCCCATCCTCAAGTTTCTTGCAGCCACACAAGTGCTATGGATGCAGCACTCTTCCTCAGCACTGACAGCACTGAAGGCACCAGGCTCAAAGAACAGCGTGCCCTAAAACCCACAGGCTCTCGGTACATTCCGAGCACCATGGGCCACCTCGCCAGCAAGCCCCAGACACCTGAAAAGCTTCCCAAACACTTCCCCTGGAGATGCCTGGTCCTGCCCATCAGATGGCCAGGGAAACGGCACCATCAGGGCCAGCACGTGCTCCAGAGAGATCCTGCTTGGCGATGCTGAACTGGTCCGTCAAGCCTTGCTTCCTCAGACTCCACCTCTCTGTCTCGAAAAACCTCCTCCCTGCCTGTGCTTATCCCCCACGGGAGCCCACCTTCCCCGTCACTGCACCCAGAGGTGCTGGCTGCCCTCAGTTGGGAGGCTGCCCACCCCTAAGCACCCAAACCATGGCAGACTCCTTGGGGACACCCACAGCGGGCTGCCTGACCCTGCCCTGGGGAGATTTTGAAGACCGTAACTCCTCCGGGCTGACCCTGTGCCTGGAGCTGACCTGACACCAAGCAAGCTGCACACAGCCCTAGGCTCCTAAAGTGCTGTGCATAGGTTTAGTACTTGGCACAATATTTTTTTAACGGCAATAATCACCCCCCTTTCACCCCCTCTCATGTGACAAAAGAGACGCAGATGAATCTTCCTCTCCTTTCTTTTAACTGCCCCTAAAATCCACTCCCAGCCTCCCAGTCGTCCCCATTTCACTCTGAAAGTGTTGATGCCCCACAGGCACTGGGTACGAGGGTGCAGGGTCAGGCTGACGCTCCTACCAGGCTGGGCATTGGTGCCAGCTCAAGCCTGCCCAAGGGCAGTACTAGCTAAAAAGTCACCACCAGGTGACAGGCATTTTTCACATGTCTATTTGGTCTTTGACCTTGTTCTCATTGCTCACGTTAGAGTTGCCTGGAGCATCTCCTGCCTATCCCGCAATGCAGGACAGAAGCTGGTCTACGGTTTTCTCGCTCCATCTTCCCCCAGACACGTTTCCCAAACTCTCTACCCCAAAACAGGGACAGCCCAGGGCAGCAGTTTGGGCATCTCCCAACATTTCTCCCCACCATCTCACCACCTCCCTCCAGGTGCTCAACCCCCCCGATCCCCAGCATCCTCCCATTGCTACCCCCAAGCTCTGAGCACTGGGGCTGAACCGCCGAGCCAGGACCCTCCTCTCCAGCACATCTTGTGTTGCTGTTTGGGGCAGGGGGAAGGAAAAAGCAACATTAAATCCCTCCCCTCAAATCTTTTTAGCACCTTGGGAGGAAGCAGCTCGTCTACCTGCAGCCAAGCCGCTGTTGCTTTTTTTGCTCCTTTTCACCTTTTTTCTGTGGCGCTGTCAAAAAAAAACATGCCACAGTTGGGAGGGCGGGAGGGATCATGAGGAAAAAGTGGTTTTCCCGGGAATTTCTGTGTGAGCAAGGTCATTTCCAAACCTGGCAGTGCCACCCATGAAAACCATCAGTGGAAATGGGGGGGAAAGGCAAAAGAGGAGGAAGAGGAGAGGAAGGGAGGGAGGGAGGCGAAAGGCTTCCCCTGCCCCTCGGCGAGGTGTTCCCGAGCAGGTTACCTGGCTGCCTGGCCCCTGCCCAGCTCGCTCGGGGCTGGCA